ATTGAACCTGGGTCCTCTGGAAGAGCAGTCAGCAAGTGCTCTTAACTGCTGAGCCATCTCTCTGGCCTTGCATTTTGCTTTTTTTGAGATAAGATTTTGGTGTGTAGTTCAGGCTGGGCTCAGATTTGAAGTTCTCCGGCTGTCGGTTCCCAGCTTGATAGAGTGTGAGGTTTTCCTGTCAAAGACTCTATAAAGTGAAGGGATTCCAGGTGTGTACCTGCACACCCAGCTAACTCCATCCTTTATTATTATTATTATTATTTTAATTTAGATTAGAAACAAGGTTGCTTCACATGTCAATCCCAGGTCCCTTTCCCTTCCCTCCTCCCGTGCCCTCCCACCAACCCCTCCAATATCCCCTCATTTCCCCAGGGAGGGTGAGGCCCTCCATGGGGGTGTCCATAACTTCATCCTTTATCTCCTACATAAATTCTTTTTTTTTTTTTTTTTTTTTTTTTGGTTTCTTGAGACAGGGTTTCTCTGTGGCTTTGGAGGCTGTCCTGGAAATCGCTTGGTAGTCCAGGCTGGTCTCGAACTGCCTACATAAATTCTTAATCTCTGGACCTTCCGCCAAGTCTCAGTTTTTCTATGTGTACATTAAGAATGAGACCCATTTTCCGGCCACTTGGCAGTAGTGATGATCCTGGTAATGGTAAGGTTTTTGTCTTGCAGTGTGTTTGTGTGATTTTTGTTTGGTTTTTAGAGACAGAGTTTCTCTATGTATCCCTGCCTACCCTGGAACTCTGTAGACCAGGCTGGCCTTGACCTCACAGAGATCCGCCTGCCTCTGCTAGGATTAAAGGTGTATGCCACCACCACGTGGCCATGTGTTTGAGTTTTGAGACAGGGACTCAGGTGCCCTGGGTGGGTCTTGAACTCATTATGTAGCTAAGGATGACCTTGGACTCCTAATCAGTTTGCATCCATCCCCACAGCACTGGGCCAGCAGGAATGTCACTCCACCCAGATTACCAATTTAGCACTTTGATAAAACCCACTGAATGGTATAGATTTTACTCGTGATAGGTTCGAGGCCAGAGAGGTGGCTCAGCAGGTCAGGGCACTTAAACAGCCAAGCCTTGCAACTTGAGTTTGATCCCTGGAAAGAAGAGACCTGAGTCCTGAAAGCTGTCCTCTGACCCCATTGTGTGAGCAACCAAACCCAAACACAATAAATAAACAAAACGGTAACTTATATGAACTCTTGCCAGGTGCGACTATGCATTCCTGAAGTCCTGGCATCAGGGAGGCATCTGGGCAAGTTCACAGCCAGGCCAGCATGGTCTGCCTCTGGAGTTCGAGACAGCAAGCAGGACCACATAAGGAGATCCTGCCTCAAAAACGCATTGAAAAAGGAAAAAAAAAAATCACAATCACATACACACATTATGTTGCTGTGTGCTCTAGTCTACCATGCATGGGGCCTTAGGTTTCCTGCTCTAAAAAAAAAGGGGGGGGGGGGGGTTTGCTGGAGACATGGCTCAGTAGTCAAGGACACTTCCAGAGGACTTGGCACTATTCCCAACACTCACATGCCAACTCACATCTGTCTGTAATCTGTGTTGTGCCCGAGTTGCAAAGTCCCCAGAGACCACCAGGAAGACAGACCCACAAATTCTGCAAAAGCAAGGTTTTAACTGTATTTATTATTCATCCAACCATGACAGGGACCCCGTCTAGCAAGCCAACACAGCAGCAGGAGTGAAGTTTCCTGTCTACTGCTAGGTGTCCTGTTGTACATAAATACCAATAGTTTTCAGAACTATATCCTGGAGACTACAGGTGAGGTTTTGGTCTCCCCTGGAGTTTCTTTTGTGGCCAAACAGTTCCCAGGAACCAACCTTCTAAGAGGCTGGGGGTGGGGCAGGGTCTAGAGCTTCTCTGTGTTCAGTTTTGGCCCTCGGCTCCTGGAGGCCAGAGGATCTGGAGTTTCCTTGTGTCAGGGGCCTACCTGCATTTCGGTAGCCTGTCATGGCTACTACAGCAGGGGCTGAGTGAGGGTCTAAATTATTAGAAGTGAAGCCTTTGAGTTTAGTTTACCCCTTTCAATCTGCAATTCCAATTCCAGAGGCTCCTATGCACCTATGGACTCTTCTGACCCCCATGGGCTCCAGGCACACACAGGATGCACAGATATTCACACAGGGAACACACACACACACACACACACACACACACACACAAAATGAGCAGGAACTTCTCTGGGAGTTCAAAGCCAACCTGATCTACTTATCTAGTTCCAGGCCCAGACAGAGCTACAAGGTGAGACCCTATCTCAAAAAAAGAAAAAGAAAGAAAAGAAAAAAGCCAAACAAACAAAAAACAAAGAGCACATAAACACACAGACACCAAAAACTCTTAAGTCCCATTGTCCTTGGACTGAAAATTACATTTCTTTCAAAATGTACTTCCCAGCTTTCTGGAGTTTTCTTTCTTGTAGGGATATAAAGTAGTAACTGGGGATTGAACTCTCCTGTTCATGCTAGGAAACTCTTTTATCATTGAGCTACACCCTAGCCCCGAGGAGTCGCTTTCTGATGACCTATCACCCCATCTCCTGATAGCTTCAGCTGACCCTGGAACCCACCAGACAGCCCAGCAGCATGTGACCTCCCCACACTGCCTAGCCATGATCTGAGCTGCACCACTGTTTAGACACCGAGACACACACAGGTTTATTTTACATGTCCTCTGGAAGTTCTGAGAGAGTTCTATGGTGTGTAGCTGACATAGGGTCTCATCTAGCCCAAAGGGGGTCCCAAACTCTATACACAGCCCAGGATGCAGGATGGCTTTGATATCTCTCTCTCTCTCTCTCTCTCTCTCTCTCTCTCTCTCTCTCTCTCTCTCTCTCTCTCTCTCTCTCTCTCTCTCTCTCTCTCTCCTCTCTCTCTCTCTCTCCTCTCTCTCCTCTCTCTCTCTCTCTCTTTCTCTCCCCCATTTTTGGGGGGGGACGACAAGGTTACTGTGTAGCCTGAGGCTGTCCTGGAATTCTGTAGGCCAACCAGGCTGGCCTCAAACTCACAGAGATCCGTCTGTCTCTGCCTCCTGGTGCTGGGATTAAAGGCGTGCGCCATCACCGCCCGGCTCTTAGAGCTCTTAATTCTCCAGTCTCTCCCTCCCAAGTGCCAGGCTCCCAAATGTGCCACCACTCCAGTTTCAGAGCCTTTCTGACCTCCAAAGACTCCTGGGAAACAACTCTGACACCCTTGTCTCATTGAGAAATCCTTGGGTTCGAGTAGTGTGACCACGGGATCAGAGTCTGGGCTGGGTGTTTCGAGGTTTCTAGGCAGTGGAGTCACCAGAATCTCAGCACCAGAATCACCATATATAGGCAAACTCAGGTCTTCTGCAAAAGCAGTGTGCACTATTAATGAGCCACCTCTCCAGTGACAGTAAGTTTTCGCTACATGGGTCCCTTCCCATAATGCAACTGCTTTTAATCATATACATGCCCAACCACGCATAGGCATAAGATGGTAAACAGAGCCCCCCCCCCACAGAGTGCACTTGAGGACACAGTTTGCTTCGGTACACGTGCACCCCAAACCGGTTCAGGCCGGATCAGTTTTCCCATTCTTCCTTCTACAACTGAATTGAAACTGTCTACATGCAATTGTTTAGAGGGAAGAAAAACCTGTACTATTGTTTAGAAAGGGGGCGTCTGCACCGGCCAGTACAGGTTGGGAGACAGGGGGCCTGATGTGGGAAGGTGTGTTATTGGAGAAAGATAAGTGTGCAGAGTACCCACCGGTGAAGGAAGTCGGCTGCCAAGTGCATTATTACAGGGGACGGGGAGCATAACCAAAACCAAACAGGGTCTCAGGCTGCTAGATCATTCTCTGTACTAGCACCAGCTGCCTCAGCCATCAGGAGGGTCAAACCAGAAGCACGAGAAGGGAAGTGGACCAAGCATCACAGCGTTGAGCAAGCGCCAGACCCGAAATAAACACAGGAAAACTGCCGTATATGGATTTTTAAAATGGAGAGGCCTGGGGCTGGAGAGATGACTCAGTGGTTAAGAGCACTGACTGCTCTTCCAGAGATCCTGAGTTCAATTCCCGGCAACCACATGGTGGCTCACAGCCATCCGTAATGAGATCTGGCGCCCTCTGCTGGCGTGCAGATATGAGGCAAGATGTTGTATTCATAATAAATGATTTTTTTTTTTTTAATGGAGAAGCCTGGAGCCTGGTATCGGAAGTTGGATTCTGTTTGTGTTTGGAAGGGCTGGATAGCAATGACTGGGCGGGGCCTACAGATGTTGGTTAGGTGGAGAGTGATTGCCAGTTCTCAGTGCTGGATCACCCTGGCATGCATGATGTTGTACGCTTATAAATCCAGTAGGGGAATTAGAAGTTCAAGGTCATCCTGAACTACATAGCTCAAGGTCAAGCTCCATTATGTAAGACCTTGTCTCAAAACACAGGCTAACAAATAGGTGGAGAGAGCGTGTAGGAGACCCCTGTGAAACTTGTCACCCCCTATTATATCTGTGGGTTGTTTTTTGTTTAAAATTTTAAATTATAGCCAGATGATGGTGGCTCAGGTCTTTAATCCCAGCACTTGGGAGGATCAGAGACAGGAGGATCTCTGTGAGTTCAAGACCAGCCTGGTCTACGAATGGAGCTCCAGGAAAACCAGAGTTGACACACAGAGAAACCCTGTCTGGGGGGTAGGGAGTGTTAATTACAGGGCTGGAGACATGGCTCCTTGGTTAAGGGCACTCACTGTTCTTTGACAGGGCCTGACTTTGGTTCCCAAGACACCCATAGCAGCTCACTCAAGGCCCTAGGGATACCTTCTTCTGGGTTCTGGGAACTGCATGATTGTAATGCATAGACATATGTGCAGATATAAATATACCCATACACATAAACTTTAATTTTTTGTTGTTGTTGTTGTTTTTCGAAACCGGGTTTCTCTGTATTGTTTTGGAGGCTGTCCTGGAACTCTCTCTGTAGACTAGGCTGGCCTCACACTCACAGAGATCCTCCTGCCTCTGCCTCCTGAGTGCTGGGATTAAAGGCACTTGCCGGGACGCCTGGCTCCAAGGATCCTGATACACATCCCTGGAAGCAGCCAAGGCAGTCTTCACATGCCTTTCCTGAGTGAGGAATGCAAGAGGAAAGACAGAAGAGAGTGGTTGTTTTTCGGAGAAGCCGGGAAAACAGAGCAGAAGCTTGCTCAACACATATTGTGCTTTACAGTCAAGGGCTCATGGGATTACCTCATACCAACTTCCCCTTCTTCAAAGCAAACATTGTGGGGGGGCAGGCATCCGAGAAGCAAGTGTGATCCGTCTCATTCCCACACCACGTCGCTCCCTTCTGCCTGTCAGCGAGGTGGTGGCAGCATGCTACAGTGCCCATTGCCCCCTCAGAGAAACGTTAGGCTGCCGGCCCCAATACCGCATCCCCATGTTGCCAGCTCCAGCCGGGGATGTCCTCTGTCGACTGTCCACCTACCTGGAAGAACTCGAGGCTGGGGAACTTAAGAAATTCAAATTGTACCTGGGGACTGCAGAGGAACTGGGCCAGGTCAAGATCCCCTGGGGACGAATGGAGATGGCGGGTCCTCTGGACATGGCCCAGCTGATGGTGGCCCATATGGGGACAGAGGAGGCTTGGCTGCTGGCTCTCAGCACCTTTGAGAGGATCCACAGGAAGGACCTGTGCGAGCGAGGACGGAGAGAAGACCTAGTGAGGGGTAAGGAGACAGAGGGACTGTCCACCTGGAAAGCATCCATTCTCTTAGCCTACAATGTCTCTAAGCTGGATTCAGGTTTCAGCCCTGTGGGCAGGCTCTGTGTGCATGCGTGTGTTCGTGCGTGCATGCATGTGACTATTTGCAAAAATTCATTGTCTCCTACCGTGTGGGTCCCAGGGATCAAACTCAGGTCCTCAGGCTTGGCCGTGTCTCTGACAGTAATCATAATTTTCTTCCTTCCTTCCTTCCTTCCTTCCTTCCTTCCTTCCTTCCTTCCTTCCTTTCTTTCTTTCTTTCTTTCTCTGCTCTCTCTTCTCTCTCTCTCTCTCTCTCTCTCTCTCTCTCTCTCTCTCTCTCTCTCTCTCTCTCTCTCTCTCTGCGAGTTTCTGTGGTGCAGCTCTGGCTATCCTGGAACTCCATTTGCCTCCCTCTGCCTCTGGAATACTGGGACTAAAGGCTTGCGTCACCCCACGGTGACATTTTCATAAGTGTACTTTGATGTACGTTGATGATACTCACCCCTTATTACTCTGTCTTGTCTATCTCACTCTTGATGATCCCTTCCTCTCCCAAACTGTCCTCTTCTTACTTCGATGTCTTTTGTTTTGTTTTGTTTGTTTGTTTGAGACAGGGTTTCTCTGTGGCTTTGGAGGCTGTCCTGGAACTAGCTCTTATAGACCAGGCTGGTCTTGAACTCACAGAGATCTGACTGCCTCTGCCTCCCGGGTGCTGGGATTAAAGGAATGCGCCACTAATGCCCAGCTTCTCTCTGGACTTTTGAGGTACAGTCTTACTATGTAGCCCAAAATGGCCTCAAACCTGTGTTGATCTTCTTGCCTCAGCTTCCTGAGTGGCAGGGATTACAGATGTGAGTCACCGCAATTGACTGTTTACTTATTTATTTAGCAGCACTGGGTATTGACCGCTTCTTTTTTAATAGTTTATTTATTTTTATTTCGTGTGTATTAGTGCTTTGCCTGCATATTGTGTCTGTGTGAGGCTGTCTGATTCCCTGGAGCTGGAGTTAACAGACAGTTGTGAGCTGCCATGTGGGTGCTGGGAATTGAACCCGGGTCCTCGGAAGACCGGCCAGCACTCTTAACCACTGAGCCGTCTCTCCAGCCCAACCCCATTTTTTTTAAAGATTTCTTTTTATTTATTTTCCCTTGTTATGTGTATCTGTATTCAAGGGGGTTGGGAGTTGGTATGTCCATGGGGAGACCAGAAGAGGGTGGATTCCCTAGAGCTGGAGTTATAGGCAGCTGTAAGCCATTTAGTGTGGGTTGGGAAACCGAACCTCTGGAAGGGTGGCAAGCACTCTTAACTGAGGAGCCATCTCTTCAGCCCCTTTTATTTTGAGGCAGGGTCCCACGCTGTAGTCCAGGTTAGCCTGGAACTCATGGGGAACCTCCTACCATGGTCCTCTAGTGCTAGGGTTACAGGGATGGACCAGTGTGTGAGCTCTATACAGTCACATCTGTAAAGCCTGGTGGAACAGCTGGGCTGGGCTGGCAAGTGTTCGACATCCCCTGCAGAGGGAAAAATATTTTTATTATACAATCACTTCATTGTAATGAACTCACAAATGAAAAATCATAGTTGGTCCGAGGAAGCTGCTCAAACACTTGCCCAGGCCCAAACTCTGTGCTTCTCAATGCCATGCCATATACTTGGAATGCCCTGGAGCTTCGCTTTGGGGTTATTTTTTATTTTTTTAAAGATTTATGTATACAGTGTTCTGTCTGCACATATGCCTGCAGGCCAGAAGAGGGCACCAGACCTCACACTTTGGATGGTTGGGAGCCATCATGTGGTTGCTGGGAATTGAACTCAGGATCCTGGAAGACCAGCTAGTGTTCTTAACCCCTGAGCTATCTCTCCACCTCGCTTTGGGTTTATACTCAAACTATCAACTACGTTTTAATGTGCTTATCCACTACAGAAAAAGAAAACACCTGAGACAGAGTTGAAACCAGAAAAACAATGAGCTTTGTCTCCTCTTCCAGAGTCCTGAGTTCTTTTGCCTGCATCCTGTCCTTCTCCATCATCTAATATTAACCTCTCTCGGTCTCTGACACTTCCTATGTGTTATACTATGCCCACGCTTACAGCTGTGCGTGATTGCACACGCATCGCACACACACACACACACACACACACGCGCGCGCATACATTATGGACTGGGACCCACATATGAGGGAGAACATGCAATTGTTTTCTTTCTGATATCTAAATAAAATAAATCTACTCATATTATACAACACAGTATTCTAATATATACACATTATAATATAGACATTATAATATATGTACATATTACAATTAGATATAATATTGTAATCCACCAGTTTTCCAAGGCTGTCCTCTGACCTTCACACACTCCCTGGGGTATGCATACCTCACCCCCACAAAAATTAAAAAAAAGATATACCATAAATGTAACATATATACTAATATATCAAGCTGGGTGTGTTGGTGTCTACCTTTAATCCCAGAACTTGAGAGAGAGGCAGATGGACCTCCGTGAGTTCAAGGTTAGCCTAGTTTATATAGCAAGTTTTAGCCTAGCAAGGCTACACAATGGGAAAAAATAAAAAATAAAAGGAAAAATATTTAAATTATAATTCTTTATATGAAGAAAAGTATCTCTATGTGTATAAAAGATTTTCTTATTTATATTTATTTATTTGTACATGTGGAAGTTTGAGACAGGGTTTTCCAATGTGCTCCTGGCTGGCATTGAAATCCCTATGTAACCAAGTGTGGCTTGAAATCCTGGACTTTCTGTCTCTACTCCTAAGTGCTGGAATTCTCTCTCTCTCTCTCTCTCTCTCTCTCTCTCTCTCTCTCTCTCTATATATATATATTTAATATATGTATATATTAAAGAAAATTATTTCCTAGCTACTCCCCAAAATATCTTACCCCAGACATAATTCCATTTCTTCACCTTGCCTGACTTTGGACCTGTCTCTTGTCGTTCAGTGTGTCAAACTACACGTTTATTTCTCATATCTTGCTCTCCCCGCATCAGGCTGCCTGTTTCCAGCCCAGCACGGTGAGGTGAGCGCTGGACATTCCGGCTTGGGAGGGCAGGAGCTACAAGCATTTGATGCAGCAGCTGGTATCAGGCCTGGGTGTAGCTCAGGGGAAAAGTCTTGCCCAGCATGCTCAAGGCCCTGGCTTTAAAAGAATGAAATAGAATGGTGAGTGCTGACCGACCTCCCAAAATCTGTCTTCCAGTCACTCCGGATAATGGCCCATGCTCCCGTGAGAACCAATCAGCTTGCCTTCTGGATGTCTCTCCTAGTGCGCTAAGGAAAGGTGAGCTACAAGCCCCGTACGTATGAGGGTGTGCTGGCTGCACAGAAGCAATTACTCAGCTGAAGACGGGTGAAACAGATATATATATCATACACTATTATATATATAATAAAATATGCATATAATTAAAGTGTTTGTGTGTGTGTGTGTGTGTGTGTGTGTGTGTGTGTGTGTGTGTGTTGACAGGGTCTCTCTACATAGCCCTGGCTGTTCTGGAACTCAACTGGCCTCTGCCTCCTGAGTGCTGGGATTACAGGTGAGTACCACCAGACCCAGATAGAAACAGTATTTAATGTTGGCTATGTCAAGGAGTCTTGGGTGAATAGCTACAGAGTTTATGTGGTGGATACATACCATCAAAGACTCCATTTCTTCTAAAATTGTTTACCCTTTTAAAATATCTATTTGAAGCCGGGCTTTGGTGGCACATGCCTTTAATCCTAGCACTTGGGAGGCAGAGGCAGGCGGATCTCTGTGAGTTCGAGGACAGCCTGATCTATAAGAGATAGTTCCAGGACAGCCACCAAAGCCACAGAGAAACCCTGTCTCGAAAAACCAAAAAAATTAAAATATCTATTTGTTTTTATTTAATATGTGTGAGTGTTTATGTGTATACCACATTGTGCCTGATGAGCCAGAAGGCGGCCTTGGATCTCCTGGAGTTATAGGTGCTTGTGAGCTGCGGTATAGGTGCTGGGAACCAAACCTGGGTCCTCTGCAAGAGCATGAAATGTTCCTAACCACTGAGCCGCCTCTCCAGTCCCTTTAAGAAAACAATTGCACTTATTTTGTGTGCATGGGCGTGGGGAGTATGCCATGGTGCCTGTGTGAAGGTTGGAGCACAGTTTGAAGGAATCGGTTCTCACTCCACGTGTGTCCTGGGGATTGAACTCAGGTTGGCAACCTTATGGCAAGCACCTTTACTGGCTGAGGCATCTCGGCCCAACTTTGTTGAGTTAACCAACCTCTATATATGAGCTATTTGTTATACAAACCTTTGGTTTATTGTCTGGCCTGGAGTTTACCATGTAGCTGAGGCTAGACTTGAACTCCTGACCCTGCCTGCCTCTAACCTAACAGGCTAGAGTGGTTTTGTGGATGTGAGGTAGCTACCAAACTACCTCTTGTCACAATCTAAGAGAAGAGAGGCAGCGACCTGGGTGTGTAGGCTCAAGGCTGTACTCTCATTTTTTTTTTTTCAGGAGGCTAAAACAGGTAGATTAAGCTGGGTGGTGGTAGTGGTGCACACCTTCAGTCCCAGCACTCAGGAGGCAGAGGCTGCTGGATCTCTGGAGGCCATCCTAGTCTACAGAGCGAGTTCTAGGACAGCCAAGGCTCCACAGAGAAACCTTATTTTTTTGGGGGGGGGAGGGGCCAGGAGACTGAGTCATAGCAAGTCTACTCTTGCTTTGAGCTTCATATGGAGGTTTTCTGGAAGAGCCTGCAAATTGCTAGATTATCTCTCCAGCCCCACCCCTACTCCAGGACTCTTCAATGCGTCCCTGAAGTCCTCCTGCTCAACTGCTAGGGAGTTCCACTGAACAGTCTCTTCTCCAGCGAATATTCACTACTTGTATAACTGTGGGGAGAGACCTCATGAACCTTGGGTCTCTCTCGGCTTCACAAGCCTTATAAATTTCATGCACTTCTGGATCCTAGCGGCACTAGCTCCAGGAAGAAGTGTTTCATGGAAGAGAAATCCATCACGTGAGTCTTGTGAGCCTCTCTCGGGGAAGAGGCGATTTAAGTCGGAAGAATCAATCTTTACACAACAGATGCAAGGAGTATGTGCCCATGCAGCTAACCTTGAATGCCTCGGCTTCCCAGGAGAAAGGTTGTTAGACTGCTCCTAGACAACTGTTCTGGGACCATGCTCGCCAAAAGGCGAGAATGGCTGCACAGAAGCAATTACTCAGATGAAGACGGGTGAACTCTCCCCTCGTATGTGCGGGGCTCATAGCTCACCTTTCCTTAGCTCACTAGGAGAGACATCCAGAAGGCAAGCTGATTGGTTCTCACGGGAGCATGGTCTGTTATCCGGAATGACTGGAAGACAGATTTTGGGAGGTCAGTCAGCATTCAGCATTCTATTTCATGCTCGCCAATCCCCGAATTCATTGTAAATTGCTGATGACATCTGGGAGTGGGGGTGGGGGGACCTTGAAGCAGAGGAATCAACAAATGTTAGAAACCAGTCTAAGCTGTGGGGCTCTGGAGAGAGGGGGGGGGGAGAGGGAGGGAGGGAGGGAGGGAGGGAGGGAGGGAGGGAGGGAGGGAGGGAGAGAGGAAGGAAGAGAAAAAGCAGAGTAGGCCTGGAGGTGGTGGCACACGCCTTTCATCCCAGCACTTGGGAGGCATGTGGATCTCCATGAGTTCAAGGCCAGCCTTGTCTACTAAGTGAGTTCCAAGACAGCGAGGTCTACACAGTGAAACCCTATTTCAAAAAACCAAAGGAGAAAAAAGAGAGGGGGGAGAGGGGGAAAAAACAGAATGGTTCCAGCCTGCAGTTCCCATCTCTTGGGAAACAGAAGCAGCAGGATGAGAAGTTCAAGGTTGCCCCTGAACAATATGAAACCCTGTCTCACAAACAAAGTAAAGAAGGACCTGGCATGTGCTCGGTTCTTTGAATGCTTTCCCTAACATTCTTCAAGTCCTGCGTTCAATCCCTATCACTGGATAAATTGGATGTGGGGTTGCATGCCTGTAATCCCAGCAAGCGTGAGGTAGAGACAGGAGGCTCAAAAATCATCTTTGAGTATATGAGACCCTGCCTGCCTCAAGAGAAAAGGATGCCGGGGTCAGAGAGATGGCTCAGTGGTTAAGAACATTAGCTGCTTATCAGGGGACCAGCGGTTGCACCCCAGCACCCATATCAAGCATCTCCCAACAGCCTTTAACTCAAGAGCCCGGGGAATCAACACTCTTCTCTGACCTCTGTGGCAGTGGAATTTAATGCATATACCCACACATATACACATAATTCAAATCTAAAACTAAGGGGGTGGAGAGATAGATTCAGCAGTTAAGAGCACTGGCTGCATTCCATGGGACCTCGATTTTCGGCATCCACATGGCAAGTCCGTAACCTCAGGACCAGGGAATCCAATGCCTTCTTCTGACGTCTGCAGGCACAAGTGTGTGTGAGGTGCGCAGACATACGAGCAGACAAGCAAAAACCCCACCCATATACATTTCAAAAACTAAGCCCAGTGGCGGTGGCGCACACCTTTAATCCCAGCACTCGGGAGGCAGAGGCAGGCGGATCTCTGTGAGTTCCAGGCCAACCTGGTCTACAGAGTGAGTTCCAGGACAAGTCAGAGCTGTTTAAGAGAAACCCTGTCTCGAAGAAAAAAAATAATTACACTAAATTAAAAATAAATAAAAACTTTCCCCAAAATGTGCTAGTGGGTATGTTACAGACCTTCCCCTCCTCTCTACTAGATCCTCAGGCAACCTACAAAGACTATGTCCGCAGGAAATTCCGACTAATGGAAGACCGCAACGCGCGTCTAGGAGAATGTGTCAACTTGAGCCACCGTTACACTCGGCCTCTCTTAGTAAAGGAACACGCAAATCCTATCCTGGCCCAACAGAAACTCTTGGATACAGGATGGGGATACGCCAGGTCCAGGGGCCACCAGGCTAGCCCTATCCAAATGGAGACCCTCTTCGAGCCCGACGAAGAGCGCCCTGAGCCGCCAGGCACAGTGGTGTTACAAGGGGCAGCAGGAATGGGGAAGTCCATGCTGGCCCACAAAGTGATGCTGGACTGGGCCGACGGGAGGCTCTTCCAAGGCCGGTTCGACTACGTCTTCTATGTCAGCTGCAGGGAGCTGAACAGAAGCCATGTCCAGTGCAGCGCACGCGACCTCATGTCCAGCTGCTGGCCAGAGCCTGGCGCACCCCTCCAGGACATCATCCGGACTCCTCATCGCCTCCTGTTCATCATCGATGGCTTCGATGAGCTTCACCCTTCTTTCCACGACGCTCAGGGTCCCTGGTGCCTCTGCTGGGAGGAGAAACGACCCACAGAGCTCCTCCTCGGCAGCCTGATTCGGAAGTCGCTTCTGCCCCAACTGTCTCTGCTCATCACCACACGACCCAGCGCCCTGGAGAAGCTACACGGCTTGCTGGAACACCCCCGGCACGTGGAGATCCTGGGCTTCTCCGAGGCAGAGAGGAAGGAATACTTCTACAGGTTTTTCCATGACACTGGGCAAGCGAGCCAAGCGTTCAGCTTCGTGATGGACAATGAGCCCCTCTCCACCATGTGTTTTGTCCCCATGGTGTCCTGGGTGGTCTGTACCTGTCTCAAGCAGCAGCTGGAAAGTGGGGAGCTTCTAAGACAAACATCGAGGACCACCACGGCGGTTTACATGTTCTATCTTCTGAGTCTGATGCAGCCCAAGCCAGGGACCCCAACGTTCAAAGTCCCAGCCAGCCAGAGGGGTCTGGTGTCGCTGGCTGCAGATGGCCTCTGGAGCCAGAAGATCCTATTTGAGGAGCAGGACCTTGGTAAACACGGCCTAGATGGAGCAGATGTCTCCACCTTCCTCAATGAGAACATCTTCCAGAAGGACATCCGGTGTGAGAAATTCTACAGCTTCATCCACCTGAGCTTCCAGGAATTCTTCGCAGCCATGTACTGTGCCCTGCACGGCAGAGAGACGGTGAGGAGAGCGCTGGCTGAGTACGCCTTCTCAGAAAGGAGCTTCTTGGCGCTCACCGTGCGCTTCCTGTTCGGCCTCCTCAATGAGGACATGAGACGTTACCTGGAGAAGAATCTAGGCTGGACCATCTCCCCTCAGGTCAAGGAGGAAGTGCTAGCGTGGATCGCAGACAAGGCTCGCAGTGAGGGATCCACCCTGCAGCGCGGCTCCCTGGAACTCCTCAGCTGCTTGTATGAGACCCAGGAGGAAGACTTCACCCAGCGGGCGCTGAGCCACTTCCAAGTGGTGGTAGTCAATAACATCGCAACCAAGATGGAGCACATGGTTTGCTCCTTCTGCGTGAGGTACTGCAGGAGCGCGGTGGTGCTCCATTTGTATGGCAGTGCCTACAGTGCAGGCTCAGACCGTGACCCTCCAGAACCTTCCGGAACCCCGGGTCTATCCGAAGACTTGTAAGTGCCTTTGCAGAACAGGGTTCTGATTGCATGCCCTTGACCGGTGATCTGGGGTAGGGACAGGAGCCTTGGTTTTGCTTGTTTTCTTAGATTTTATTAGACGTGGTAGTAAGCACCTTTAATCCCAGCACTTGGGAGGCAGACCTCTGTGAGTTCAAGGCCAGCCTGGTCTACACAACAAGTTCCAGAGTTCCAAGACAGCCAGTGCTGCTACACAGAGAAACCTTGTCTCCAAACAAACAAACAAACAAACAAAATCAATCATTCAGGGGCCTGGAGACATGACTCAGTAGTTAAGACCTGGCTTCAATTCCTAGCACCCACATAGCAGCTCACAACTGTCTGTAACTCCAGGATCTAATACCCTCACACAGACATACATGCAGGCAAAACACCAATACACAAAAAATAAAAATATCAGGCAGATCTCTCTGAGTTCGAGGCCAGCCTGGTCTACAGAGCGAGTCGAGAACAGGCTCCAAAACAATACAGAGAAACCCTGTCTCGACAAAACCAAAAACATTTTTTAAATGCAAATGAAAGGACAAATGGTGGATTTGCCAAGCAGCAATGGTCGTCATGTGGCCCATGCCATGTGTGTGCCTCTCTGTCTCTGTCTCTACTTTTCCCAAACAGGGTTTCTCTGTGCAACCCTGGCAGTGCTGGAATTCGCTCTTTAAACCAGGCTGGCCTCCAAGTCACAAGATGCCCCTGCCTCTGCCTCTGCAGAGAGCTGGGATTAAAGATGTGGGCTGCTATCACTCAGATCTCTGTCTCTTTCTACATCATTGTGTGTGTGTGTGTGTGTGTGTGTGTACTAAACCACACACGCATCTTCACAGACAGGAGGGGAACGCACTTCCTGATGTCTATGGTGCACATCTCTCAGCTGCCGTCCGCACCAATCCAAACCTGATCGAGCTGGCCTTGTACCGCACCCCCTTGGGTAGCCGGGGCGTGTGGCTGCTGTGCCAAGGCCTCAGACATGCCAACTGCAAGCTTCAGAACCTGAGGTGAGTCCCAGCTGCCACACAAGCTTCTCAGGTTCCCCCCACCCTAGCCCAGGACACGGAGGGTGGTGGATCTGTTTGCCATGCTCCTGTGGCAGAAGGTAACAGTGGGGGAGCCTCTTCCTCCTGAAGAGGGCTCTGGTGGTCAGATTCTGCATTGTCGGGGTGGCATAGCTTTCCCTGCCGAGGCATCACCGGTACAGCACTTCATTTTTCCTTATTCAACACGGAGCTTCCCAGTGTAGCCCTGGCTGCCCTAGAACTCATTTTGTAGGCCAGGCTGGCTTTGAACTCAGAGATCCTCCTGCCTCCTGCTTCCCGAGAGCTGGTGTTAAAGATATGTGCCACGACTGCCTGGTTTATAGCCTTTTAAAAATAGTATTGTTAGGCCGGGCGTTGGTGGCACACGCCTTTAATCCTAGCACTCGGGAGGCAGAGGCAGGCAGATCTCTGTGTGTTCGAGGCCAGCCTGGTCTACAAAGTGAGTTCCAGGACAGCCTCCAAAGCTACAGAGAAACCCTGTCTCGAAAAACCAAAAAAAAAAAAAAAATAGTATTGTTATTGTTTTATGTGTATGTCTGCCTATGATAAGGACAGAGGGGTATGAGATCACTCGGAACTTAACTTACAGGCTGTCGTGAGCTGCCTGACATGGGTGCTGGAAATCCAACTTGGGTCCTCTGCAAGACCAATCTGTGCGTGCAATCACTGAGTCTTCTCTCCAGTCCCCCAACCTTATATTTTGAACAAGCTTCTAAACTGAACTGAGCGTTTCCCTTGAATCCACTTGCCTGTGCCTCCTATGTACAAGGCAAGGGCTCTACCACTGAGTCACACCCCCAGCCCCTCACTGAGGGATTCTAGGCAGGTGCTCTACCACTGAGCCACACCCCCAGCCCCTCACTGGGGGATTCTATGCAGGGACTCTACCACTGAGCCACATCCAGATTTTTTTTGGGTCCTAGGGATAGAAACAGGTCTCCACTTTACACACTGCCCCATCTATCCAGTTCCCATAACATTTTTATGAGACAGAATCTCACTGTAGCCTGGCCTGTCCTGGAACAACAACAACAACAAAATAACCAAACAAGCAAAAAAAAAAAACAAAAAACAAAAAAACTAAAAAACCCCCAAAACAAAAAACCACCATAGTACACCACTACCACCCAAGACTTAACAGCCATCATATTCTTTCTTTCTTTCTTTCTCCCTAGGTTTATTTATTTCTTCTGTATATAGTATTCTGTCTGCATGTGTCCCTGCATGCCAGAAGAGGGCATCAGATCTCATTACAGAGATTATGAGCCATCATGTGGTTCCTGGAAATTGAACTGAGGATCTCTGTGCTCTAGACCTCTGAGCACCTCTC